CCCAATCTTCCTTCTGAGGAGTGGCTGGTGGGTTTGAACCACCAGTCTTCTGGTTAGCAGTCAAATGCCTTAGGCACTATGCCACCAGAGCGCCTATAGTAAAATAAAATTTTAAAAAAGAGAGAGGGAGAAATAAAACTCTATGGAGCACTGTTCTACTTTGATGACACACATAGGGTTGCCCTGGGTCAGAATCAATTCAATAGCAACTGCTTATTAGACAATTTCATACAGATATAATACGTTCCTCCATTTCAGTACGTGGAAAAACAAACTCATCGTCTTCTCCATACTCCCTCTCACTTCCCTTCCTCATTCTCAATTAAACACTGCTCCCCTTGCCTTTGCTCTCTTGATCCATAGCCCACCACCCAACGGAGACCACCTTTGGAATCATCCAGCTTTGCACCATCTGCCCTAAAATAGCTATCTGGTCTCAAAGGCTTGCAAGTTCTCCATCATAAACTCCTCCCCCCAGTTCCTCCCCCTCTCTCATTCCCTCTCCATTGCCAGGGCCCAGCTCTGGCAAGCTACAACTAATTGGCTCCCTGGTCCCTGACTTTATCTCCTGATGAGTGTCAATGGATTGGTCTAAGACACAAATTAGTCAGACTATACCCTTAACTAAAATCTCCAATGTTTCCTATCACCTAAATTCTAAAATCTTAGCATGGTATTCCAGGCCTTTCCGAATCTGGCCTCCCTCTTTCTTTCTAGTTTGATTTTCACACACACACACACACACACACTATATATATATATATATATATATACCCTTGTAACTCAAAATGTGGGTCACCTGGGAAGTGACTCAGCACCTCCTGAGAGCTCTATAGCAATGCCAATCATCCATTCTGGGAACTTGTCCTTGCCACCATCCACCTACTGTGATAGTCACTCAACACAAGGCCCATGATCCCAGAGTGATAATTCCTGCTTGTCATCACCCCCAGTAGGCTAGTCAAGCATCTTCTCTAATTCTGTCCAGTACAAAGGTCTACAAGGTCTTTAAGATTTTTGGCAACTATTTATTCATGCACCTGCCATTTCTTGAGCAGAGTGCTAGACACATAGTAGGTGCTCAACTGGTAAGTACTGAGTGGGGAGATTGATGACTACAGGTATGGGCCACATGCTTGGCTCATCCAGCTGGGCACTGACAATAGGACAGGATGGAGGAGGGGGAAGCACGGGGAAAGATATTTCTGCAATAGAGGCTACAGACCCTGGGGATCAACCAGATGTTTAGGGGACTGAAAATAAGTTCCCAGTCCTTCCTTTAGATTCTTATAGCCTAGCAAGGAAGGCTGATAAGGAAACTAGGAAACTGCACTCATTAGTGCTGGCATCCAATGAGCACAGGGTGCTTAGAGGGGAAGGGTACCACTCCCAGGCCTGAGAGGTTAGGGAAGTCTTACTAAAGGAAATACCACCTAATCTGAAGTTAGACAAGCAAAGGCAGAGGGGAGGGGGAGATAGGAAGTTGATGTCCTTCCTGGTACCAGCCACGTTATCATTTTCCTTCTTATAAGAACCCACACCACCACTGCCATCAAGTAGATTCTAACCCACAGCAACACTATAGGTCAGAGTACAACTGCCCCCATAGGATTTCTAAAGCTGCAAATCTTTACAGAGGAAGATAGTTTCATCTTTCTCCTGTGGAGCATGGGTAGGTTCAAACTACCAATCTTTTGGTTAACAACCAAATGATTTGACCACTGTGTCACTGGAATGCCTTCTTATAACAGAGGTTATTAATAAATTATAATTGTTCTCACGATTGTCAACCAAGGTTGCCTATATAAGTAAAATTCACCTGATTTGGGAAAGGAAGCAAAAAAGACAACTAAGACAGGCTATTTGCTGTAAGGACCCCCAGATGGAGCCTAAAAGTGATCTTTCTGAGCAATTAATAGCTTCTACCTTCAGGTGGAAGACAAAATAGTACATGGGAACCTCTAGATGCTGCCTGGCACTGCATGGAATAAGAAGCACTTGATGGGTAAAAGCCTGAAAAGGCTTGGAAAGAATCCAAGCACAATCTGGCCCAGACACTGGTGGAGACAGATACAAAGTGATGGGGAAGAGGCATGCACTGTGACGAGGGGGTCATCATGGCACAGGCAGGGGGTGGGCAGCCTAAGAGCAGACTGAAGTGCTGCTCAGTAGGGCTAGGGTAAGGCTGGTGCAGAGAGCACAAGGGGGAAGAAGCCAAGCTCAGCTGGAGAAGCCATTTTCCCCACCAACACTTTGGCTGTCTGAGTCCGGGATGTAGGCAGGAGACAAGTCTTTCAAGGCTATTTATAGGGGATGAGACTTTCTGCTTGGAAACATCTGTCTGCTTCCTCCTGATTTCACAACCCCATAAAATAAAGAGGAAGGAGTGGGGAAGGGAGAAAAAAAAAAAAAAAAAAGGCAGAGAGAGAAAAGAGAATCTTGTTTTGTTTCCTGCCTATCTCCCTCCCACCTAAAGGGAGCAGTAGCTCCTGCCGTTATCTAGGAAAGTTCTGGAAGGAAGAAACCCCAGCTCCAACCCTAGGATTGTACACTCACCTTCCCAGAGCCCTTGAGGCATTGTACAGCCTGTTTGTGGGTGAGGCCACACAGACTTAATCCATCCACTTGCAAGAGCCGGTCACCTGCAAGAGAAAGAAAAGGCACCATGCTTCTTCCACACCCCTGCCCCATGACCCTCAATGGGGTCTCAAGGGGGCTAAGCAGGAAGCCTATAGAATCAGCAGGAATCCCAGCCTGGGTCAACGTGCTGGCACCCTCTCTGAACACCAAGTAACACCATTCATGTCCTCCTTCCAAGCACATTACAAATTGATGATACAAAAATCTTTATATTATTTTATATTTATATTATTTATTTATATTTATATTATATTATTGCCTCAAAATGGTTGAGCCAGCTCCATACAACCTTATCCTTGCTTCTGTTTCCCTGTGAAATTGTTTTTGAAAGTATTTTCAAGTTGTTGAGGAGTAATATTTCATATCTCCAGAATATTTTTTATTTTAAAATAGGTCAGGGAGATAAGGTTAAAGTTGAGGACACTGGAATTCTGGGGTAATAGAGATAAGTAAGATACTAGGTGTCCTTTTTGGCTCAATTCTGGCAGTTTTGAGGAAGAACAGACCTCCATACATACATTCCTTTAAAGCAATGGGACATGAGGAAGGAGAGAGAGAGAGAGATTTGCCAACATCCTCCCCAACACAGCATAAGAAACCAGGGCAAACTCTGTCCTCAAAGGGAAGGACTTTTTTTTTTTTTTTTTTTCCATTTAAAGCTGGCTAGCAACAAACTTATTTTAAATCTTACACTTTACATTACCTTATGCTTTCCAATATATGGGGTCCCAGTTAAGCACTTGGCTACTAACTGAATGGTTATAGATTCAAATTCACTGAAAGGTACCTCAGAAGAAAGGCCTGGTGATCTGCTTCTGAAAATTCAGCCACTGAAAACTTTGTGAAGCACATTCATCTCAGAACTCCCATGGGACCCCCATGAGTCAGAACCAGGGCTTGGAATCTGTTCAAATTTGTTCAGTCATGGCCAACTCAGCAAAACCAGAACATACCTAAATTTGTAAAATGTGGGTTTATGGGAATGATAATCAGAACAAGGAAAGTTACAGTTGAAGCCCTGGAATGGGAGACTCGGAAAAGGCATAATGAGCCCTTTCAGGAATCTGATGTGGAACACTAGATTATTGCCAGGACTTTGCAGAGTGATACACATTCAAAGTGACTAGATCAGCCACCACCATCTTTGAGCCAGGCACCAACATTTCTGACTCTGCCTATCATGAGATTCAATTGGTATGCAATACACATTTCCCCTTTGTTTTCTAGGATGGAGATTAAGTTTCTAGCAGGGCCAAAAAATAAACTAAACTCTCTGCCGTGAAGTTGGAACCAACCCATAGCGACTCCTCCTTGGGTTTCCGAGGCAGTACCACTATGGAAGTAGATTGCCCAACCTTCCAATTTTTCCCTCTCTGATTATCATTCCAGTACAACTACATTTTATAAATTAGGGTCCATTCTGGTTTCACATCAATGACCATGACTGAACTAGGAAGAATCAGTTTGAAGCCCTGGTCAGAACTGACTCAATGGTAACTGCTATACTTTCTAATATACCACTACAAACATTTGATATTCACATTAACCTTCTCAGGTTCATTGTTATTAGCTACTGTCCAGTCAGCCTTGACTCATGAGAGCCCCATACACAATGAAATGGAATCCTGATCAGTCCTATACCATCCCTATGATCAGTTGAGGACTAGAACCATTATGACTCAGGGCTTTCCATTGGCTGATTTTTAGAGGTAGACTGCCAGGCCTTTCTTTCTAATACATCTTACTCTAGATGTTCCACTAAAAGCTATTCAGCTTTATAACAATACCCAAACATCTACTGATAGACAAATAGTGGCTGTGCATGAGGTCCATTCGTTGGCAATTGAACCCAGGTTTCCAGCACGGAGGATGAGAATTATACCACTGAACCACCACTACCCTATGAATAGGCAGGTTACATTACTACCCTTTACAGGTAATGAAACCAAGATCAGGAAAGAATTTCTATTTGTACAAGATCTTGAAAAGAGGGAATGAGTGAGGCCAGGATCTAGACTTGGGACATTCTAACTCCCTGTCCAGGACTCTTACATTGCAAAGTGCAGGTGTCAATAAGACACCTTCCCTTACCCCTCATGATCTGTCCTTCTTTGGCAGCTGGCCCCCCAGGAATGATGGATTTTACATAGATTCCTCCATGGAGCACACTTGTGTTAATGCCACCCTGAAAGACACAACAATACAATTCACCACCTCTGTCTGTCCCCTCCTTAGGAAGTCCTTCCCCTTACCAATGGAGTCACCACCTACTCATCACCCTATTTCATTGCCATACCACCATCTGATACTATTGTATGTATTTACTTATTCAGTCAGGCTATATTGTCCACTGAGCAATGTTGTTGTTGTTGTTGTTGTGTGCCGTCGAGTCAAACCCGACTCATAGCGACCCCTCCTTGGGTTTCCGAGGCAGTATCACTAC